CTCATAATATGATGAACAAACAATGTTATCTAAAAATCCTAGAAGTATCAAAGATAATTTAAGTACTAAGTGGCAAACTATTATCAAAACAATATATCAGAGATAATTTAACTAGGTATAAACTTACATGGCAATCTCCAAATATGGAATTTAGTATTATAGTGTTGGTGACCTCCCTTTTCATCCACCTGCAATACGTAATTCAATAACAAATTATACCTTAGTAAATAGAGGATGTAAGTATTATGGAGTTGCAAGCTGATAGAGGTCTCCTTTAAATAAAAAGATTAAGTAACACTACACTCTTTATGCCTCTAGGAATCATAAATTATAAGTACTTATATACATGATGATGCCTTAGATACAAAATTGAAACGTGAAGAATTTATTTATCTACAGAATAACTAATTCAAAGCTTTGGAAAGCAGTGGTGTACACAATAATTAATCAAGTTAAATTTGAGTTTCGCTAATTGATAAATTTTCAAGGACAATGTTGTTAAGTCCAAATAGTTGTTTAACATAGAAATGATTTGAATCTAAGAAAATAGAAAAAGTATTCGCAAATAGCAAACTTTGACAACTTAAGCAAAAAAATTAAAAATTAAAAGCTTGCAAAGTTAAATTCCTTTGCTAACAAATCGAAAATTAGGCCAAAGGAAAAAGGAAATGATTATTAAACACGTATCAAATTGTTTTTATGAATGAAAATAAATATTACAAACGTACCAGGTTGTTTTTATGACTAGAAATGAATATTAATTCTTTTTATGTAGAAATATGAACGGAAATGAATATTAATTCTTTTTATGTAGGAAAAAGGAAATGAATATATTCATAAAGTGAAATATAATTGACAATTATATTTTTTCTGAAGGAAAACGGAAATGAATATATTAATATTTCTCTGGAAAGATAATCGGCAATTATATTTTCATAATTATATTAATTTTTAATTATATAGAAATGAATAGTAATTCCTTATATGAACGAAAAAGGAAATGAATTTTACACGCGGCAATCTATTATTAATATTCTATTACTAATACGCATGTGAATTAGGTCAAATGAAAAAGGAAATTAATATTAAAAATTCATTAGAAATATAACACAGCTTTCTCCATAAAAAAATTAGTAGCCACCAAATAAAATATTAGTAGAAAATTATGAAGGAAAAAGAAATAGAAATGAATATTAACTCTTTCTATGAATGAAAAAGGAAATAAATATATTCATATTTCACTGAAAGTATAATCGGCAATTATATTATTATAATTATATTAATTATTTATGAAGGAAAAAGGAAATTAATATATTAATATTTCATTGGAAATATAATCAGTAATTATATTTTTATAATTGTATTATTTTTTAACTAGTATTTTCACCTGTGCGATGCACGGAATGGAATTGTTGTAATATATTAAGAATATTTAAATCGATATATAATTATTTAATAGTTAATTTCACCAGAAGTCGCTTATCTTTCCTAACAATTCTAAATTTAATCCTAGACTATAGTTATTAATTATTACGATTTATTCTATGTTATAATTCTTACGTTAATATTCTTACTATTATTATTAACACTTAATTACTTTTAGATATTATTTTTACCACTTATATGATTATTATATTATTATTATTATTATTATTATTATTATTATTATTATTATTATTATATTATTATTATTATTATTATTATTATTATTATTATTATTATTATTATTATTATTATTATTATTATTATTATTATTATTATTAGTTTCTTTTAAGGTTTTGTTAGAATATAATGGTCGTGAGGCACACAATAATAATATAATCATAATTAAATATTCTTGTATTGTATTCCGTGAGTCACAATAATAATATAACAATAATTAAATATTTTTCAATTCTATATTCTTCTAGAATTTCTATTACCATCATTAATTATTCCCTAAGTTACCATAATTAAATAATTTGACCAATTATAAAAAAGAGATTATTAAATAATGCACAGGACAATTTTTTAATTAAAAATTTAAAAATTCATTAATAAAACATAAGGTTCTCATAGTTTTTTCTTAGAAACTATTTAATAAAGCATTTTTTTTTAGAAATTGGTGTGTCAAACCGCCTACGGCAGTTTGCGGTGGATATATCCCGAAAAAATGCGCGATTTCAAAAAAACATTTATCCAAAACAGACAACATCAGAGTCAAAAGTTATGCCTTGCCGAACTTTTGACACTTCACAACTTTAACCCAGAATTATTGTACGAATGGGAAAGTAGAAATCAATATATTTTATTGGGAAGAGAGATTTTTTAGGAATTGGGCGGTAAGTTAAAATTTCAGAATTTTATTTTTATATATAGTATAGATGTGCAAAGGGAATTGTATTACACTATTTTATAATTTTAGAATAGAATTTTAACGCAGAATTATTGTACGAATGGGAAAGTAGAAATCAATATATTTTATTAGGAAGAGAGATTTTTTAAGAATTGGGCGGGAAGTTAAAATTTCAGGATTTTGTTATTATATATAGTATAGATTATAGATTATGTGGAAATGAATATTAATTCTTTTTATGAACGACAAAGGAAATTACTATTACACATATAAATCTGTTATTATTATTCTGTTACTAATTGACACGGAAATCAAGCTAATGGGATGTAAAATTTAATACTAATTCTTTTTATGAAGAAAAAAGGAAATGAATATATTCAAAAGGAAATGAAATATTAGGAAAAATGAATCAATATATTAATATTTCACTTATTCACAGAATTGATCAAATTCTCTCTCTAGAAATCTAGGGTTTTCTCTCCACTACTAGGGTTTCTCCTAGGTTTTCTTTACACCTTTCTTGCTTCCCTACGGCGGTTCTCGGCCGGATCTTTGCAGCAGAAAAACTGAGAGGTAAGGACGCAGGGTACTTTATCCATAGCATGCATGGCGTTGCCGGTTGATGAAAGTACGATGGAGGGGATGACGAGGAGATTGGCCGACTTGGCGTTGGAGGAGGAGGAGGCAGCACGCTTTGAGCCGGTGCATGACGACGGTGAGGAGACGCCGGCGAACGCAAGGCAGACATGGTCCTTGGTCGGGCGTGTTTCTTAACACGGAAGCTAGTCAAGTTGGAATTCACGCGGGAGGTTCTGGCTTCGGTATGACAACCGGTACAGGGTGTCCAGGTAACAGAAATCCAACCACGTTTATTCCTGTTTGTTTTCTTCCATAAAACGGATATGGAGCGTGTCTCGGATGATGGGCCCTGGGCGTATGAGAATGCAACCCTAGTTTGTAGGCAGGTCATTGATGGCATGCTGCCGTTTGATGTGGTGTTGGATACGGTTGATATGTGGGTACAAGTACATGGTTTGCCTATCGGACATACTTCAGACAAGATCCTTGAGCATATTGGTAATTACCTTGGCACGTTTGTTAAGGGAGATGACCGTTTTGTGAATGTGCCGTGGAAGGCTTTCTATCGTATTCGTGTGGCTATTCCTGTTGACAAACCTATCAAGAGGCGTATGAATTTTGTTAAATGTGATAAATCTACATGCTGGGTCTCGTTCAAATATGTGCGTTTACATAATTTATGCTTTTATTGCGGGCTGTTGGGACATCTATATAAATTTTGCATTCATGCACGGAATGCTACTATTCTGGTTGAACAGTACCCGTTTTCAGCGGATTTACGGGCATGATCGAGGAGGGGACTGAGAGTAGTCGGGGAAGAGTGGTTGGTGCCGGCCGAAGGGAAGGGGATTGAGGTTGGCGATGGAGGGCAGGTGGCATCCCGTGAGATACCAGAACTGCGCCGTGAGATTGAGAGCACGGTTGTGGCAGTGGCAAAACGCCGGCGGGAGGGGGACGGTGGTGTGTTGAGACAGGGAAGTGGTGATGTTACGATGGTTGATCTTTCAAAAACCTTGCATATGGCGGGTACTGGTTCCCAGGCCCGCCCATCATCATGAGTACTGATGGATAGTAATACTAGGCCAGGGCCACTCGGACCGGCCCAAGAAAGCAACTGGATCAAGGAAGCCCAAGAAAGACACATGACACAGAGCAACCCAATAGTTTGTCAAAGATTGGATCTGTTACTACTAATATAATTAGAATTGGACTCATTATTTATAGTATAATAGAACTAGGTCTCATTATGTAACTAAGACTCCCAATATGAGGCATTCTAGAATTTTTATTCCTTGTAGGGCTCTAGGCCTAAAATATGTATAAATAGACCACTCACATAGAGGAGAAAGGGAGAACTCTCAGCAATTCACGAGCAATACTCATCAATACAACATTCCTATATTTTCGCCATATATTTCTCCTATATTCTTGTTACTCTAATGGTAGTGTTGGCCTGTCGTTGATTGCCCAGAAGTCATAAAACCAACATTGGCGCCGTCTGTGGGGATCGATATGAAAAGTTTACGTTCGTCCCTCAAACCTAAAACACACTATCGAAACCCTAATCATGGGGAGCACTCGTCGTAACACCCGCACTGGCTAGTCCGTTCGGGATCTGCGAGAAACCCTCAATAGGCCTACCATTCGCATGGTGTCCGGTCGGTCAGTGCCCCCAAGGGAAGGTATCAACCTGGAAAATCCTCGAGAAGAGAGGACAATTCATCCGAGCACACCCTCACCGGTCGCTGGCGTCTCACAAAGCCAACCGGTTGAACTTCCACCCATTGTAGTGAAGGCCGCTGAGCACCTCCTGGGAGTCTTGCAGCGTGACTGCATACTGAGAGGCGAGTCCCCACTGGACCCCCCTCATCAATATCATTCGGACAAAGCAAACAACAAGGACATACCACTTGAGAGAATGCATGAGTCACCCAAAGAACATCACCGCACGGTCTTAATCCTTGACTGCGCAGGACTTTCAAGCCAACAATCCCCCACCGGACAACTAGGACAAAAAAACCTCACGATTAAACTACCGCGACGGAAAACAAGACTCAACCCCCAACGACGTGTGAGGGCTGCTCAGATGGCATGCTCCCGCGCGCGAGAATTGCAAGCGGTGGAGCGCAATAGAGAAAGTTCTCCGGATGGCCTGGTAGAAAGTTGGGGTGAGACCCCCGACGTCCAGATAGAAGCCGAGGGTAGAAAGGACCGGCCAACCACTCAATCTCCGATGTCAACCAACCCATTCTCCATAGAAATCCAAGAATATCGCATATCAAAAGACTTTGAATGCCAGGCGATGCCCGCATTTGACGGAACAAGCGACCCCGATGACCACTTGAACAACTTTCGAACAAGGATGAGAATAATAGGGGCTGGATATCCTATGTGCTGCCACACCTTCTTCTTAACACTAAGTGGGGCAGCGCAACAATGGTTCACGTCACTACCACCCCAATCTATCAATTGTTTCAGGACCCTGGCAAAGCAGTTTTTAACGCACTTCGCTGGAAACATAAGAGACAAGAAATACTCTATAGCCTTAACTTCAGTACAACAAGAAGAGTTAGAGACATTGAAAAACTTTCTAAAGCGATGGCAAGAACAAATACAGATAGCAGAGGGCTTGGACGATCGAACAGCGCTAACATTGTTCATGGAAGCATTAAGGTCTGGGGATCTACCCACTAGCCTGCGAAGGAAAAACCCCGAGACCTATGCCCAAGCCATCCAGTGGGCCCATAAATACGCAGATGCAGAGGAAGCCTTGCGACAGAAAAGGAAGAGGAAAGAAGAACGGCCTTGCAAAGATATAAGAACACATTTGGGTGATCGACCGTCTGAAAAGAAAAATAAATCAAGTGTCCACAAGGAACCCATCAACCACTGTTACAGAGCGGTCCCCGAATTAGGGTCCCGACCAGCGTACAATGCAAAATTACCTCGCCATACATCAGCCACGAGCCGACCACTACCACCTCTCTCACAACCAATCAACTGGTCACTGTATATGAAACCGACCACTAGAGGACCTAAATATTGTCGCTACCACCGGAAGGCAGGTCACACCACCGAAGAATGCACCACTCTACAAAAGGAAATCGGAAATCTCATCCATAGAGGAAGACAGGCCACTCGCCCCAACCAGTGGTCACGACAACTGACGGAACCAGCCGAGGATCCCGTCCATAGAGAAAGACAGGCCACTCGCCCCAACCAGTGGTCACGGTGACCCACGCAACCAGCTGAGGATCCCATCCATATAGGGAGACCGGTCACTCGCCCCAACCAATGGTCACTACTACCCATGCAACTAGCAGGGGACATTATCCCTACTGAACAAAAAATAGAACCCTCACCAGAAAGTCCCAATTGGCAAGACGACGACTACGAGGAACAAGAAGATCGAAATTGGAAACACAAGCCCATAACCCGCTAGGAAAGCAAGACCTATGAATCCAAACCAAGAATACACATTCAAAAATCAGGGCGGTTCAAGAAACACTATAAATGGTTGGGAAAATAATCTCGCATAGTTAGTTACTATGTACAATAGACTATCATATCATAGTATCATAATGAAGTCATCAGTTCGATCTGAAAGGATTACCACGCCTACCCTTTACATGAAGTAAATGCATTCAAAAGCCACAACAAGGAAGATAGATTGTTGGTCACTCGCACCGCGGTATTCCTGCCACTCTCTAGGACAGGCACCGCAGAAAGACAATAGGGAGCGTCACACGACAATAACCTCTAATATACATAAAATCATCTAGAGTAAAACGATCAAACGAATAGAGACAACCTACCTGCAACACCAACAAACCGCCTCAAATGCCCTCTGAATTCTGGCAGTTAGTTTGGGAAAACTACGCGGCTAGACTAGTCACCTCAACTGGTCATCCAGACTAGTCATCCTGACTGGTCATCCCACCACTCAGTGGTCGACAGACCTTCCTACCACTCAATGGTCGACTCGCCTTCCCACCACTCAGTGGTCGACGGACCTCCCCACCTCCCAGTGGTCGACTCCTTTGCCCACCACTCGATGGTCGACGGACCTTCCAACCTCTCAGTGGTCGACTTGTCTTTCCACCACTCAGTGGTCGACTCGTCTTCCCACGACTCGGTAGTCGACGGACTTCCCACCCCATAGTGGTCGTCATGCATGGAGTAGTAATCAGATTATAGTGAAACAAATGCATATAACTGCCGGAGTAAAGAACCTGAATATCAGATGATGGGGAATCTAATAGATAACGGGGAGTTACGGGTGAAGGGTTTAGTGTAGAGTCTAGGGTTTATAGGAGAGAAGTCTAGTCGGTATAAAGTCTAGGGCAGAGTCTAGGAGACAGTAGGTTATAAAGCATGGTTGACAGAAAGTGGTCAAATGGAGTATGAGATATCATAATCTGAGAACGGGAGACGTTCTCAGAAATATTGGGCGGATGGGCATACTGGATGAGAACGGGAGACGTTCTCAAAAATATTTGGCAGATGGGCATACTGGATGAGAACGGGAGACGTTCTCAGAAATATTTGGCGAATGGGCATACTGGATGAGAACGGGAGACGTTCTTAGAAATATTCGGCGGATGGGCATACTGGATGAGAACGGGAGACGTTCTCAGAAATATTTGATGGATGGGCATACTAGATGAGAACGGGAGACGTTCTTAGAAATATTCGGCGGATGGGCATACTGGATGAGAACGGGAGACGTTCTCAAAAATATTTGATGGATGGGCATACTAGCAGAGAACGGACGACGTTCTCAAAAGCCATTGCCAGAGTGGCATACTGAAAGAGAACGGGCGATGTTCTCAAAAATCATTCGGCGGTTTGGCATAGTGGCAGAGAACGGGCAACGTTCTCAAAAGCCATTGGCGGAGTACTGACAGAAAACAGGCGACGTTCTCAAAAAAATCATTTGGCGATTGGGCATACTGGCAGAGAACGGACGACGTTCTCAAAAATCATGGTGGAGAGAAATACTAGACGTTTGGGATTAAACTGAGAACTGGATACGCTCTCGGGAATCACTAAAGAGCTATTAAACGCATAACCGGGAAATGGAGCAAACAACAAACAAGAAAACAGAAGGAGTATATTAGAAATCGTCATTACAACACCCAAGCAATCAAAAAAGAAGAAAAAAAAACTGTTACATGTCATCTGGAAGGCAGGCAATAACATCCCTTCGCTCGGTTCATCCTGGCAACAAAATTCATCTGCTCTTGGACCTACACTATCCAGCTGCCCAGAAGACACATCAACATTGGAAATACCAGCCAGCGCTTGAAGGTTGGTGGTCGAGTCCAGATAATCAAGGTCAATGGAATCTCGCACTACTCACTTAAGCCCTGCGACAATCCAAAACTAGGAGAAAGACGAGTTAGGAGTAAGTTGCGACTCAAAAGATGAATACAGTACTACATGCATCACATTGACATGGAAAAAGAAACAACTAAATAAATAGCAAGAAAAAGACTCAACTGATAATAGACAAGAGACAAGAAGAACTACCAAACAACCAAAAGTAGATGAGGTCAGGTCCGAAATAATTGACCGACCGGTCAGACAGATGACCATTTGGCCCGCTACCGTCTAAGACCAATCGGTCACTTAGCACTGGCGGCAAGGGAGCCCCCGTCCACTCTCCAATCACCCAAAAACAAAAATAAAAAAGGGATCGGAGTGAAAGAAAAGTTGTGTGTGACCTGCTGGTCACGCCCAACTAGGTGACTGGTCCCGGTCACACAGTTGACCAATCGGTTGGTCACAGAGTGACCAACCGACTAGTCCAACCGAACCAATCAGTTAAAAGAAAAAAAACAATTAAAGAAGAACCCTAGGAGTTACAAAGGTGAAAGAAAAGAAAAATCAAGAGAGTGGCTCACCCGCAGCTGTGACCATGTTGGCGTCGGAAAGAGGGGCAGAATAGAAGAAGAGTACAAAGCCAGGTCGTCTAGAGAAAGAGTAGAGAAAGAGGGTGAGGGGAAGAAATGAGAAGATCCATGGAGATGAGTAAGGTGGGGAGTTATCACCTCAGATGCAGATATGCTGGGGAAATTCAGAAATCCACTATCAATCTTCACTCGCTAGTATTGGCTCCTTTCACAAAGCCTTGCTCCTTGCGTGAATCAGTATGCATATAAGCACAGTTGGCCACCTTTCTTTTCCACCGCTACGGACTAGGCAGATATATAGTACATATACATTGATAGGAATATTTTTGTAAGTTTTGATGAGCCAAATGTATCTTTAGATCCCCTTAGTTTTTAAGTCTTTGGTACAAGCATCATAAATCAGAATATTGAAATCAGAAGGAATCTACCATAGGAAGAACAAAATTAATTTGAGAAATTAATTTTGGTCCTACGAGTATTCATCCGTGAAAGAAGCATAAAGTAATGGCGTTGCAAGGAATGATCGGATGAGCCTAACGGCGAAATGGTAGAGGTCCTTACTCTAAATGATCACACCCGAGATTGATTCCCCCCAAGGACCTATGTTTTTAATAAGGCAAATTTTTGAAGGAGCTCGATGTGTGCTCAAAAGAGCACAATGTGTCCGAAGGAGCACGATGCTCACCAAAAGAGCACAATGTGACCAATTCTGCTAAGAAGCACAATGCTGATAAGAAGCACAATGCTGCTAAGGAGCACAATGCCACCTAAGAAGCACAATGTTGTCTAAGAAGCACAATGTTGTCAGAAGAGCACAATGTAAAGAAGCACAATGTTCAAAGTCAAGGAGCACGATGTTCAAGTCAAAGGAGCACAATGTGGCAAAAGAGCAAGATGATCAGAAATTGGATAAATTCGAAGGAATTTACTCCAAGTCCACCCACATGCCACAAGACTCCAAAATTGCCTGAAAGACATTTGATCAGAACGAAAAAATATTTATGAAGGCATGAATATAAAAACTTATCCTAGAAATAAATTCTATCTGATGAATTTATTTCAAAGATTCGTTGGATATTCAAATTGACAATTAAAGTAATATTTTTAGAAACAACTAGAAAATCAAAGTTGTGCTAGAAATAATTACTTTGTCAGGCAAGTTGACAAATCAAATCAAAATTGAAGATCTACTACTGTCAACAATATCAGGCTATGAAGATTCAAATTTCAAATATCAAATTATCTCACTCCAACGGATATATTTGATTGACTATAAAAAGCCATGAAGACTTGAAGACAAATGGCGTGAGAAGAATAGAGAAAAACGAGATAGAATACAAGTGCAAAATTCAAAAGTGCTAGTGCTCAAAATATTCTAAGAGACTTAGTCTGAATAGTCTCAAATCTAGTTGGAGAGAGGAATACAAATCCTTGTATTTGTAAATTGTAGAAAGAGTATAGCTGTGTGCAAAATACTCTAGTGAGTGTAGCTGTGTGCAAAACACTCGTAGTTGCTAAGTGTAGCTGTGTGCAAGACACTTAGTTGGCGTTGAGTATAGCTGTGTGCGAAATACTCGGGAGTTGAGTGTAGCTGTGTGCGAGACACTCGGAGCAGGGTGTAGCTGTGTGCAAGACATCCGGAAGAAGTGCCTGTGTAGCACTTGTTCACTATTGTAACTGTGTGTGGAAAATAGTGAATTTCTCCTAGACGTGAAAGGAGAAAAGTGGACTAGGAAGATTACGCCACTTCCGAACCACTATAAATTGCCTCTCTCATTTACATACCGCACTTACATTATTTGCTATATCTATCTATCTCATCCGACTAACCCGTTTACTATTCACAGTTAATCTTAATCATCCGGGTTTAGTGTGTTCTCACGTATACATGTGACTCAAACTTCTCAAGCTTAAATAGTGATTTATTCTAAGCAAGTTTGACGTGCTGCATGTAACATTCGTCACACGGTCGAAGTGATACGATATTTATTTACAATCTTGAATATTGTCATTATATATTGAGTGAACCATCTCCTTTATATATTCAAGATATCTCTGTCACTTTACATATCATTTGTACCTAACTTACTTATACATGCACACTTAATTTACTAGTTGGGCACAACTCTTTACTATTATTCCGCTGTGCAGTACAAACTTGCTCTATTTACTTATTACTTAGAGTTGAAGTTACCAAAGAGTTATTTGATTTGAAAAAGCTTGAAAGTCTATTCACCCCCCCCCCCCTCTAGACTTTCACCACCCTATCGGGACCAACATACATATATGTGTCTTATAGCCCAAGGCCTATGTTTAAGTTACTTCGCACGAGGGGAGTGTGTATATATGTACAAAGTATACATGTCCGGACCAGTGGTTACTTCGTAGGTGTTGTAATCAATGTTGCAGTCTATGTATCTCCTCTGCCATCTTGCCATCCTATGTACCTCATCTGCCAGACACGTAGAAGCATACAAAAGTGATACCACCCTCTAATTTGTCTTTACATATATGTGTAGGTAGTGCTCACTGGTTATTTGCATGTTAGAGTACGGGGCTGCGTGAAACCTTAATTCAATGTACTTGTGTACACAGCACATACAAATTTTCCTTCCTTTCACTTCACAGGTCATGTATTATATATATATATATATATATATATATATATATATATATATATAAAAGGAACTTTGTGCATCCTTCAAGAGCCACCTCCTGCCAGACAACCTATACCACTTCCTGTTCCAGATCCTGAGCCTGGAAAAAAAAAAAAAAACCGCAGGCAAGTTTCTTCTGCTGTTTTGGGGCTATAATTTTGCTATTTGATTTCTTTAGTCCGCTTGTGGGTAAGACTTCAAAGAAGAGAGTTGTCTCCCAGAATGCAGTTCTCTTTGGAAGTCTTTGTAATGAGTTCCTGCACATGCCTTTGAAGCTGACCTGTTGAAGATATGGTTTCTTTGCGTGCAAGAATGTATATACACATGACTAGCGCAGCTTTATCCATTGCTCTCTATCCTCCTTTTTTCACCGTTTGCACAGATATATGCAATACCCCAGTGGACCAAGTGAATGTACGTAAGTATACAATATTATGCATTTATTGTATGTATTGTCAGGTCTAAATAAGCATATATGGGTAGAGTAGGATGTGATTACTTTATGGAGATTCCATATAGAGAAGAAGTAGGTGTTGCAGTAAGATCGGAAACAGAAGACATAAAGACTATATATATATATATATATATATATATATATATATATATAAGAACGCTCATATGCGGCGGGGTCTTACGGTGCGACGGTGCGGTCAAATTCCAGAATACACCAACAGTGTTAACAATATGCACCAACAGTGTAATAAAAACACACCCCAATGAAATGTAATAAATCACAAAATACACCACAGACTCAAAAAAACACATCATATAACTCACCACCCCCAATGGTGTATTTCCGAACAGTGTATGGTGTTTTTACTCACACCTAATGGTGTGTGTTTGGTGATGCAGGGCTCTGTTTACTCTGTTTTGTGTGGTGTATTTCCTAACGTTGATGGTGCATATTTGGTGAACTATTGGTGTTGCCGCACCGTAAGAAATAACCGCACCGTAAGACACTGCCGCACCTGAATAACCGAATAACCCACCTCTCTATATATATATATATATATATATATATATATATATATATATATATATTATACTAATGAAAGGGCTGTCGGATACAAACCTGTAAGGCTGAATAACCGAATGCAAGCTGCGCAACCTGCAAGATTAGAGCAGACATGGAAAACAAAGCTTCCTGAATATTTCTATCGGTGAAGTTGAAGCAAAGAGCAGCGCCTGAAATTTCCTTTGAGGGGATGCACTGGAAATCTGCCTAGCACGGACCCGAGCTCGCCATTCGCTGTCGCTGCAAGTCTCGGACACCACAGCGATGACTTCCCTTAGCCAAATATTGCTTGCAGAGAAATGGCCGTGCTTCACCAACAAGAAGGGAAGAGAAATGGCTTGAGAGGATGCAGAGAGAGTTTTCCTATGTCTTATGGTATTTTGAACTTGGTTTGTTCTTACAAAGCTTCTATCGATCTTGTTCCTTTTCAGCTGTTTCGCAAGACTTTGGCTTTGCAAGTTCTAAAACTGACAAACAGGACATGACCCTATGGATAAAACGGATCTTCTCTGCTTAGCTTTGACTTCCCTGGACCCACTTGAGAGTATGACAGCATATAAGACGCATTAATATTAGGGCCGTATTTTAAGTTTTGGTGGCCCTGTTCTAGTAAATAAATGTGGCCCTACCAAAATCATAATTTTTAAAACTAATACATGCAAGTTTCGAACCTTTGACCTCCAAGTTAAAATACAATAAATACACATTCTTACCATCTCTTCATAAAACCTTTAAAGTTTAATTGAAAACTTTTTAATTTTTATTTTTAAACTAGCTAGGTAAAAATTAAATATTGAACCTCTAAATTTTGGGGCCCCTCTAAAATTGGGGGCCCTGTGCGGTAGCCCAGCTTGCACAGCCTAAAATCCGGCCCTGATTAATATATGTATATACTACATATGCCTACGTTGATAACAATAGCTATAAACACTGGAGCTTTTAAGGGTTTCCTGTTCATAATGGAGTTAACGCCATTATTACTTTTTGCTACTAGTAGCATTATTATCATTTTTATCACTATTATTATTATTAACATCATTAGTTTTTCTATCATTTTTATTATGGTTATTATTGTTATTATCAGACGAGGAAATAGTTCGAGATACTTTCCTGAGATATCGACTCCTCGAAATCTCAAGAAAGTGGAGGACTGGATGATGGATAGTAATACTAGGCCAGGACCACTCGGACCGGCCCAAGAAAGCAACTGGATCAAGGAAGCCCAAGAAAGACACATGACACAGAGCAACCCAATAGTTTCTCAAAGATTGGATCTGTTACTACTAATATAATTAGAATTGGACTCATTATTTATAGTATAATAAAACTAGGTCTCATTATGTAACTAAGACTCTCAATATGAGGCAGTCTAGAATTTTTATTCCTTGTAGGGCTCTAGGCCCAAAATATGTATAAATAGACCACTCACATAGAGGAGAAAGGGAGAACTCTCAGCAATTCACGAGCAATACTCATCAATACAACATTCCTATATTTTCGCCATATATTTCTCCTATATTCTCGTTACTCTAACGGTAGTGTTGGCCTGCCGTTGACTGCCCAGAAGTCATAAAACCAACAAGTACGTTGAGCTGGAACTGTCGTGACTTGGGTAATCCACGAACAGTTCGAGAAATTGTAGACATGGTGTCCAGTAAGAAACCCGACTTTGTATTTTTAATGGAAACCATGGTAGGCCGGGATCACGCAGAGCGACTCCGGGTGAAACTTGGTTTTGATGGTCTTTTTTATGTTGACAATACAGGTTTGAGTGGTGGTTTGGCGTTATTGTGGAGGACGAATGGTACGGCAAGTTTGTTGAGCTACTCAAAAAATTATGTGGATGTGGAGGTGAGCATGCCAGGTTTTGATAAATGGAGAATGACAGGTTATTATGGATTCGCTCAGAGGGGAAGACAAAACGACTCTTGGGGACTCATCAGATCATTATCTCACCGCTCTGAGTTACCATGGGTTGTTATAGGGGATTTTAATGATCTCTTATATCAGTATGAGAAGCGAGGGGGGAATCCCCATCCAGAGGCACTATTACGTGGCTTTGGAGACACTATTGACGAATGTGGTTTGGCTCAATTGCCTATGCAGGGGTATCCATTTACATGGGAAAGGGGGGAAGGGACTGTGGACTGGATTGAGGAGAGGTTGGATAAGGTATTAGTTACCCAGGAATGGCGTGAAGTGGTAAGAGATGCCAGTGTCTTGAATATTCTAACCCGACGCTCGGATCATTCTGCTCTTTTCCTTGGGATTCTGAATCTTCGGGAAAGGGCGGGTGGTGGGAGGAGAGGGTTCCGTTTTGAGATGGCTTGGCTTCATGATGAGGGTTGTAGGGGTGTAGTTGAGAGGACATGGACTGAGGGGAGGGATAGAGGATTACAGGCCTGTACCGAGCTCTGTGGCAACAGGTTATCACGATGGGGAGGTGATTGGTTCCATAAATTTGGTGAGCAAGCTATGTGTCTCCGTAAGGAGCAATTGCGATTACGTGGATGTATGGACCATGCATCATTAACTGAATATCAGCGCCTAGAGGAGCGCCTTGCTCGAATAGAAATACATGAGGATGCGTATTGGAAACAAAGGGCAAAACAGCACTGGCTCAAGGGGGCAGATGCGAACACGAAACTCTATCACATGTATGCCTCTCACCGTAAAAAGAAGAATACAATTTCTAAAATTATGAATGATAATGGGGATTGGGTGGAAGGGGGGGCCATGAGGGATGTTATTTTTTATTATTACCGGGATATTTTCTCATCAAGTCAAGCCAAAAGAGATGAAAATTTTTATGCCAATATCTTGCCCCGGGTATCACAAACACAGAATGATGCCCTATTGCGCCCTTTTGAGAGTACTGAGGTAAAAACAGCGCTGTTTGCCATGTTTCCGGACAAGGCACCTGCCCCGGATGGAATGAATCCGGGTTTTTATCAACATTTTTGGGATGTGGTGGGAGGGGATGTGTCGGATTTTATTGTGAATTGTCTAAATACTCGGTCCTTCCCGACTAGTTTGAATGACACTGATATAGTTTTAATACCAAAGAAGAAAAACCCAGAGTTGGTCTCAGATCTTAGGCCCATAGCATTGAGTAATGTGGTATACAGGGTCATGGCTAAGATGATTACGGCTAGGATGAAGCTGTTAATGGATGAAATTATTTCTGATACACAGAGTGCATTTATACCTGACAGATTGATTACGAATAATATTCTAATTGCTGCAGAGGTTGATCACTATTTGAACAGGAAACAGTATGGTATGGTGGGGTGGGGTGCTTTAAAGCTGGATATGGCGAAAACATATGACTGTATGGAGTGGCCCTTCTTGCGTAATATGTTAATAGCATAGGATTTTGATGGTAGATGGGTGGATCTTACCAAATATTTTATACAAATATAGGAAATATTAATATTTTGTTCAATACTTTCATATGATAATCTACAATACACATCTCACAACAAATGAAACATGTAGGGGAAAAACTACCACTACCAAATATCAATATGTGCTTTTAAGATAAAAAGTTCATAGTATCCCAATAATATATACAACAAGACAAATCTAAAGCTTCCTACACTATAATCTCATTGCACGATATATCCCTCTATGCGATACCACCAGTAACCCAATTGCACATGACACACTACCAATAAAAACTAAAATAAAAAAGATGACATGCACTGAAGATGAAGACAGTGACAATGCTACCCAAAAGAGAATTAAGAATAATTAAAAAATTTAAATCAAAAGTAGTATTTATTTAGACTATTACTTTTAGACTAAGTATTTAGACTAACATTATTACAGAGTCGCAAACATTTATTTTAGTGACATTTATAATCAATCTCTCATATATTATCTTGCATTTATATACTTTAAATTACCGATTTAATAAATAAAAAAATTCAACATTGATTTAGCTATGCGTGACCATCTCCAATATAATATTGCATTGATATACTTTGAAATACTTATTTAAAAATAATTATTGGGCATTATCCCATTCGCGCAAAACGCGTAAAAAAACTAGTATTAACAATGCAAACCTTACATAATATTCACGTATGCAATACCATAATTATTCAATATTACAATTAATGCATTTTAATTAATTTCCATTAAAAATTTATTTACCAAATAAGATTTATTAATTATTTGACCAATAAAATATTTAATTAGTTGAGCGAAAAAATGATGTAGGGAAATTTTGCATATATATATATATATATATATATATATATATATATATATATATATATATATATTATTCTTACGTTAATATTCTTATGTTTATTTGTTTTATTCTTTGTTATTAATATTAATATTTTGTAGCCATAAATTTACTGTAATATTTTATTCTATGTTATTAATTATTACATTTATTTAGTAGTCATAAATTTACGGTAATTATTACGTTCATAGTCTAAATATTTTTTGCCAATTCAGAATTCCTATTAAAATAATAATATTTCCATATAAAATTACGGTAATTATTATGTTCATAGTCTAAATATTTTTTGCCAATTCACAATTTCTATTAACATAATAATATTTCTATATAAATTTACGTTAATTATTACGTTCATAGTCTAAAATTCTTTTGCCAATTCACAATTTCTATTTACATAATAATATTTTCATAATTAATTAGTCTAATCATAATTAAGGACCACACAATATTACAATACAATATTACCAATTTTCATGCATTATTTTCTTACCAAATAAAAATTATCATTACTTTGACGAGTAAAATAAGTTTGGTCGGAAAAATGGTAAAAGGAAGATTTTATTTTTAATTATATAATAATAATAATAATAATAATAATAATATAAATATAGATTTTTATAATTAATTAGTATAATCATGATTAAGAACCACATAATATTACCAAATATTACAATGCAATATTACCAATTTTCATGCATCATTTTCTTACCAAATAAAAATCATCATTACTTTAACCAGTAAAATAAGTTGGGGCGGGAAAATGGTAGAAAGAAGAATTTATTTTTAATTATATATATATATATATATATATATATATATATATATATATATATATATGAATTAACTCAATCTTCCATGAATTAATTATGTAAATTCATATATACATATAGTAAACTATTTGATGGAAAAAAAAAGGGAAATTTAGTTTAGCTTCAATTTGAGTTATTCCTATCTACAATTTCTACCATTCTAATAACAGCCAATAATGTTAGGCCCTTAACTGGAACAAAAAAAAATGTCGGTAGTATTATTTCTTAAAATGAATGGTCCATATTATTTTGATTTTAGCATTTTTAATGGTTTTCCTTATTTACCATCTATTATATTATTTTTTTCCCTTAAACAACCTAAATTCCGTTAGTATAAACTTTAGTAACGGAATATTCTGTTAACTATTTATTATTTTTAACTTACTCATTAATTTATATAAGAAAGGTCTAAGGTTCAAACCACATCCCAATTAGAGTTGGCATAATTGTTAAACATATACTACGAATACGTTAAAATAGATTTAAAAAAAATATATAATCTAAAATTTAACATAAACTTTGTTCAAATAATTAGTCCAGCTAAATACATAACATTCAAAGTTAAGCATCAAAGATTATAAATCAAGAACTTTAAAAATCATTTGATTTTTATGCATTTAAAAAAAAAAAAAACAAATTTACCAAGATCATGTGGTCTAATGGTACTCGGGTTGGACTTCCATTTGGAAGGTTGTGAGTTTGAACCTTAGTAGAGGTGTTATTGGCTCTTTGTGTTTTAGTCAGTAAAAAAGAAACAAATTTAGGTTAATTTTTTTTTTCCGTTTAATTAATCTTCTTTTGATTATTTAGATCAAAACAAAACTACCAAGACTATGTGGTCTGATGGTACTGGGGTTGGATTTTTATTTGGAAGGTTGTGAGTTTGAGGCTCAGTAGAGGCGTTATTGGTATTTTGTGTTTCAGTAGTTTGAGAAAAGATCATAACAAAACTTAATATTTCAATTATACTTTTGCATTATTGGTATGATTTAGGTCGTTATGGTATTAATATTTTTTGTATGTATTTTTATAATGGTACCATTGTACATTATTTTACAAATATTATACTATTATTTTTTTATTGGACAAAATTGTTCTTACATCATTGTCAGACCTACGCGACCTAACTACAAAGTTGTTGATCATACATACATACAATTACAACTGGACTCAAAAACAGTAGGACCAATTTCTAACGAATTGACAATGTTGACATCACATTGGCTCCAATTGAATAAGTTTACACATCAGAATTTTATCAATGCATGAAAACTTCTAAAGAAATTTGTAAGTTAATTTTTACTATATCATTATAATAATATCTATTGTAGTTATATAATTTGAATTATTTATTATTATCCTCTATTGACATGACTTGTATCAATTGTACAAACTCTCAAAACAATTTGTCTCAACAACGAATGTAAATTAAAAAAAGTCAATGATTTCATTATTGTTGATGAAAAGTATGTATGCCACTTTATTACTCTTATTAAATTATAAATAAAGTAGTAGCTATAACAAAAAATAATACATATGCATTTAATTAATTTAGAATTAGATGTCTATAAAATGCCTTTATTTAAAAAAAATATTCATTATAAAAACATTTAAAAAGATATATAATTTCATTAGTTATATTATATTTATTTTCTACAATTCAAAGATTCATTACCTTCAATTTTTTTAATTTATTATATTCACTACATTGTCCATTGTCCTTCTTTTTACATTATTTAAAGCTTTCTATACCATAATCTCATTGCACGATGAATTCATCTATGCTACCACCAGTAACCCAATTGTACATGACATGCTACCAATAAAAAAGAAAGAAAGAGGACATGTATTGAAGATGCAAACAATGACAATGCTCCCCAAAAGAGAATTAAAAAGAATTAGAGAAATTTAAACCAAATAGTATTTATTTAGACTATCGTTTTTAGACTAAGTATTTAGACTAGTGTTATTACAAAGTTGCAAACGTTTATTTTAGTGATAATAAAATCAATCTCTCATATATTATCTTGCATTTATATATTTTAAATTACTGGTTTAAATAAACAAATTCAATATTTATTTACCTATGCATGAACATCTTCGATATAATATTGTATTGATATACTTTGAAATACTTATTTAAAAATAATCATTGGGCATTATTCCAACTAGTTTTATAATAAAAATGTTGATACACATAATATATAAATAAGGTAATGTAACGGAAGCAATAATGGAAATAAGACGAGAAGATTTTGGTTAGAGCAAAGCGCCGATAACGTGTTGAAAGAATATCCAGAATAGACAAGGGGGAAAAGAGTCGTCTCATTCATTCTTTCTATTGTAAGAATACATATATATACAAGGTAATATAACGGAAGCAATAATGAAAATAATTATAGTTGCAATACTATATGATAATATTCATAATAAGTATAATATTTATAACAATTGTTAATTTAAAATTCTTCTATAAGAGTTAGGATCTGATGGGTTGATTATTAATTCAAAATTAAGAGTTACCATGAATTTTAACACGTGAATGCAATTTTCAGTGTGGAATTCTTCTATTATTGCATTTGCTTCCGTTCCGTATAGACTAGTTTTGAGGGGGAGGGAGCAATAAATACTTTTACCAAACGGTTCCTATAAATTCCCCAGTCCAAGACTATTCCTAACTTCAAAATCTTACTCCTTTTGAAGTAAAAGCCGAACTTCTCTCTCAGAAATCCTTGTGCGCTGTTCATTCTGTGCATTGCAACTCCTATATAAAATTCCAGTTTTGAACTCTCAAATGCTCTGACTAGAAAATGGAAACCCTAGCTCTCTCTCGCTTTCCGCTCAGCTCCGCCCATCGCTCCGGCATTACCTCCCGCCACCGCACTGCCTCTAAATCCTCTGTTTCTCTCTTCGCCTCCTCCTCGGCCGCCCGCTTCCCGATTATCAAATGCGCCGCCATCTCTGCCCCTCCTTCATTAGGTACTCTCTCTTTGCGTTTTGCTCGTGTTTGTTTCGATTTGATGATTCGTCCGTTTGTTGTTTTAAAATGTTGCGGATTTTGCAGTCGACCATTCGGAGAAATTCAAGGAAGCTGCGCAGCACGGGAATTTGATTCCTCTCTTCAGGTCAATTTTCTCTGATCACTTGACTCCGGTGCTCGCTTACCGATGTTTGGTGAAGGAAGATGACAGGGATGCGCCCAGCTTCTTGTTCGAGTCTGTGGAGCCTGGTCTTGATGCTTCTGCTGTCGTAAGTTTCATTTAGTCTCCCTCCTTATTCTTTGAGAAAATGCAGGATGATAACAACAA